TAACTGGGCCTTGAAAGTCTTTGAAAGGTACTTGAATTAAATGTTTAAAAAGCTGTGGAAACCCTGATTGGAATACTTAAATAATCAAACAGTTTGGGTTTTTTTTCTTTGCATAGTCACCACAAAAAGTCAGGCCAGGTAAACTCACAGACGGCCAGCCGCTTAGGCCTTTTAGGAGTGTAGTGTGTAGTGTGGTGTATTGTAACTCTTAAAGGAATATAGCGACAACAAGAGTGCTGGTGTGTTTCATAGTTCAGAACCCTCTCCTTTTCAAATACAGTGCTGATCTTCTCCACGCTCGTTCAAAAACTGAAGTGTAATGTGAAGTGTAGTTTACAAGACTTTGTAATCTGTAGCATTTCCAACAAATACACAGCCCTGAACTGTCTCTGTCTGTTTGGGAGGCTTGAAATATTTGCAGCCGTTGAAGTAACTGAGTAGTAACAATAAATAATTTGCTATTATTTTGTGCAAAGACTCAGTATAATATCGCAAGCTGTACTTATTTAATGTTCTATCAGGTAGACAGGGTCAGTAGTTATTAACCAGCCAGTATTGTTAGAATGAGATGATATGCTGGTCTTCCTAATGGAATTATAGCAGCAGTGCACTCTTCAGGGATTTTAACAAGCCACCTAATAATCCAGTGGTATCATAGCCACAGTGGTATCATTTTAATTGGATGATGATAGTAATACTGTAAGAGGGGCATTTGTAATCTGATCTTCACTAATCTGTTGTATTAAAGCCTTGAGGGTCTGTTGAGTACATAGCCATGCCTGTGACCATTATACACTCACCTCTCTTCATCAAACCTACAGTCTGAGCTCAGTTTTAATAACAGTGCACGCAAATCTGCTGAATGTCTCCACTATTTTCAAAATGCACCTTGGTATTTTAGCTAATAACCAACTGATCTCCATTTTGCTGTTTGTTTAACTGCAGATGCTCAGAAAGTAAATGCTAAATAATGTAACATAACTGAGTACAAGCCTTGGCAGAGTTTTCAGTTATCCAATATGCCTCAAGGACTTTTTGCCCAGAATATGTGTTCATGAAATAACATGTAGATGTGCATTTTTATTTAAGATTAAATACTTGGACTGATAAACCTTTTTCCTAGCAGGTAAATATTTTTTGCACTCTATAAACAAAAGATAAAAACTGGTCAGTGTTTAGATCCAACGAGTATCTTCCTAAGATCTAAATGTTTTCAGAAACATATTTTAGTGTTCTGTTTAGCTTGTAAAAAAGTGAAAAGGTTGTGACCCGGGCGTCATGTTAAAAATAGTCAAGTCAAAACGAAGCACTGCCCACTGACTGGAGCAAAGTTTGTAATGTTACAGCTAAACAGTACACTAAAATATGTTATTGAAAACATGTGAGGGGAGAAATAGGCAATGCCTTAACAGAATCTTGTTTCATATTTGATCAGCACTGCCTAATTTGACAATTTGAACCCAGTTCGCAAGCAGTAATTGACATGATCAACAGCTGCTTAGAGACTCCTTGTCTCTGATTGGTTTTCATGCCAATACAAGAATTGTGAAGAGATTGAGAAGCATAATTTTCACAGATTATCTACCTCTTATATTACTGTCAGGATTTATAAAAAAAACTCTATTGTCATGTTTGCTAAAAAAAAAAGTTACGTACTGTAGCTTTAAACAATCCAAATAACAAAATGAAATTGTTATTAAAAGATTAATAATACCCAGACCTGTGTTATAACATTAAAAAAAGAAGTGACAGGCTTATGTCATAACAGTCACTAAGTTAAGCATCCAAGAAGGAAATCTTGAGCAATGCCTCTTCATAGAAACACGATGTAATAATGTGTATCAGACCGTGCAAGCACACACATGCACAAACACAAACACACACACACACACACACACACACCCTATTGATACAGCAAATTCTTACAGGAGAGTGCTGAGTCAAGTTATCAGATACATAATGTCCTCCTTTACACTTCTGATGCAGTCATTGTGCACGTACACACACACACACACACAGGCATGCATTTCAGCGTGTGTCTTTGAAGAGGCAACTGTAGGTCAAGCTGTCAAAAGTGCTGAGCCGACTTTCCCTGGATCAGTCTCCGTATTTCTGTCTCTGTTTCTTTCTTCTTTTTTCTCCGCCTAAAGTGATCTGACCGTGACCTGAACACAACTCGGAAAAATGCTGAATGTCGTGATGTGATGTTAACAGTAGTGATTTTTATGCTTGCTACAGGCTGCTCAGAACAACAGTCAAACAACCATGGACGAGAGAAACAGCAACTGAAAACACAGTTTGGCTGTCGGTTTTATTGCCTCCATATTTAGTGGAAAAAATAAGTCATCAAATATAAATAGCCAGATTTTTGAGCCCTGAATATTCTGGTAGATGATGATGATGATGATGCAGATCACAATTTTAGACAGGCCTTTTGGAAAACTATTTAGTTGTAGATTACATCCCCAATACTGGGAATGAGCCATGAAATTAGTCAGTCACTCAGATTCACTTTACTTGTATCTCTTTTGTCACCACGTGATAGCCAGACTTCACAGTCGGCTGAAACCAGTCACTTTAGTGATGATGACTCAACAAAGCCTGCAGGGATATCCAGGAAGTGACAGTATGACACAGGAAGGAGCAGAGTGTCTTACATAAGGCCGCGTGAAGATGAACCGACAATAAAAATAACCTTTAAAGAGGACGTTTATGCTCATTCCCAGGTTCCTACTTTTTTTATAGAGCATGCTTACATGCTTAAATGTTCAGAAAACATTATTTTCCTCATACTGTGTGTGCTGGAACACCTGTATTCACCCTCTGTCTTAAATGTTCCATTTTAGCGCCTGTCTTTTTAAGGAGCTGCACACATGCCGTGTCGTTAACTGCCTGGGAAACACGAGGTCGGGCGCTACTTTTGTGCCTTTTTTGAGCCAGCTTTCAAGAGCGTGGTGGCAGGTTGCTTCTGAGGTTACGAAGCAACCTTAACAAGTACCATTTACCTGAACTCTGAGTCCACAGCTGGTCTTCTTCCAGGCGCTGTTTTCAAATGTGTGGGCATATCGTCCATCAGACAGATAAAAAGCTCTGGCAGCTTGTCACTAAAATGAGCAACTTTTATTATTTACCACAGAGTGATACTTATGGAAGAACGGAAAGATATCTGTCGGTTGATCCTCGTCACATGACATGCGATGTGCCCTTGTTGCACCCTGACATAGGCTCTTGGGAACACATGTATGCCTTGACAACGTCGCTTGGGCATTTGAGCATGCCTGCCTTGCGTCTGCATTGAAAACAATGACTTTGAGGGCGCAAAAAAAAACAGCATGTGTATGGCTTCTAATCCTCCCTCCTAAAAGAGCCACATCTGCTCTGATTGGTCATCGTTGCAGGGTCTTCTGTATCTGCATCCTTGATGTCTCTCTGCACTGTCATGGCAGCCAGGGAGTATTTGTAACTAAGCATAGTGGCACTTTCTACCCCGAAAAATCACCAATAAAAGCTTCTAAATCAAAATCTTGACAACTGGACATGTTTCAGCAGGACTTTGATCATCTACATCTACAACTAATATTACATGTTCCCCTGATGTTAGCATGTAGCTACATGTAGCAGCGTAATGTTAACACCTACAGTAGTGTGTCTGGATTATTCAGAAGCGTCTTGACGCCTGAGGTTTTTGCTAACAGTGATTACTTTTACATATGTTTACCTCATTATTTGAAACCTTGACAATGTTTAATATGAACATGTGGCATTGTTACCTCATATATATGACAGAATTTTTTTTAAAAAGCACGATACACCCCCGTTTCGAGAAAGTTAATACGTGAAGATTCTGAGAAAAAAAAAAAAAAAGAATCTGCGGAAGTTGATGGTTTGTGCATTGTTGAGCACTGCAGTTTGAATATTATTCCTGCTGTAGTCTTATACTTCGGTTATAAAAAAAAAAAAAAAAATTAGACATCTTGTGATTCTGTTCATTCATTTGTAAACCCAACATAAGAATATGTCAGTAAGAATTCATCCTGCCTTCAGGCTACAACCCACCTACGGACACTACTGCTCAGGCTACTACCCGACTACAGCCAGCACCACTGAACACCAGTATGTCCACAACAATGTACTAATCCTCCTACAGCAGACCTTAGCGTGTCAAGCCAGATTTTAGAAACCACCAGATTGTAAAGTGCAGCCTAGCAGCCATGCGACTATTTGAGAACGGTAGAAGTCTGCCTCACAGAGACTCTGGGATGGATTGGACTTGCTGGATACTTCTATTCTACACTGCAGGTAGAATGAATGATCAGACTGGTTTACTGACGAGCTGGAGTGGCTCACTGTTAAACCTAGTGCTTGACAAGACTGAGTGCCTGGTTGATTTAGCAGCTGGATGTCCACTTCAACCCGACAGTGTTTCCCACAGGGAATTTATTTATTTAAACTCAGCTGATTTACGTTGAGCTGTGAGTCCATTAAGGCCTCCTGAAAAACCTTGTGTCAGTGTTTTGCTGGTTTATGTTGACTCTTTACTGACTGACTGGTTGGTAGCTTCACTGACACTGTATTTTTACAGTTATTTGTCTTGTGACATCTCAGTTCGATTATCTCCATGTGGATTAGTTCTTGAGTGAAACTTGATTAGCATGAGTTCTCTTTCACGTCTCTATGATTATTAATGTAACATGTTTTGTGTCCTCTCAAATGTATAGAGTGCAGTATGATTGACAGGCTGGTGGTGACTGAGAGGTTGTTTGAGTGGGTGTTTTACTGTGTCAGCTGTTCTTTCAGCTGTCTGCTTAGAAGGGTTGATGAAGCAGTTTTCTTAATGTACCCTAATCACCCTTTTTTTAACCCGTCGACTGTGAAATGCTCTTTTTTATAAGATCATTTAAGGTATTTCCAGTTTGGATACAAGACATGCTGATTACAGGTTACTTGTTAACTATAAAGTCACATCTTGACCTCTGTTCTTACCCCACTCTCCTTTTCAGAATATGACAACCAGTTAGCCCCAGCAGCAACATCTGATAAAGACATGGCTTCGTCTTCCTACTTGGAACCCAATCTCAATCACTCGGCAGCGGGTGGTTGTGGGGTTAAATCCCGATCTGGGATACCTGGTGTTACCAGTGCTGGTACCAGCGGCTCTGCTGGAGGCCTCGAGCGGCCCTCGGGCTCCATGGACCGGGTTCTGAAGATCTTCCACTATTTTGAGACAAGTGCCGAGCCATGCACCTGGGCTAGTAATATCAGGCATGGAGATGCGACCGATGTCAGGGTGAGACACACAAACGTTTCTTACCTCTTTCTCATGCATCATCATTTCCCTGATTCTCACTTCTGTTCATAACTTCCTCCTGTTTCAACAGGGTGTTATCCAGAAGATTGCAGAGATCCACAAATTGCGCTGCGTGTCCTCTCTGGGCCTCCGTCTGACCCACCTGCACTCTGATGCACTCCATTGGTTACACCCTGATTTGGGCGTGTGTCACGTCAGGGAGAAATATGAGAAACAGCACCCCCAGGAGGAGTGGAGGTAGAGTTACAACCAGATTCAATGATCACACTCACTATCTGCTCCCACTCACACAACAAAATTTACAACCTGGGTGATCTGGACAGTTATTGAAGATTACTAAAATAATCGCTTAGTACATCATCATAGCAACATATTGTCATGCATGTTTCGTGTTGCCGTCCTGCCATTCTGTCGGACTGTTTGTGTATTTTTCTCATGCAATCCAAGAGGGTGTTGTCCGACTACTGTGTGCCTGATTACATGTGAATGCAGCATTAATGTTGTTTTAATATCAAACAGTAAACCAAGTGACATATCATCACTGTATTCTCCTCAGAGGCGTATAAGAGGACAACCTTTATAACAAACATGCCATCTTTACAAATGCCCCGATGGGCTGTACAGAAGCTGCGCTTGTTGAAGCTACAAAACTGCCAACCATCAAGTGTATTTTGAAAAGCCTGCCTTACAAGCCACATAACATATGATCCCAATGAAACCACTGATGTGAACTACTGTATACAGTAGGGCTGCCACGATTAGTCGACTAATTGATGACTAATCGACTATTAAAATAATCGGTGACTATTTTAGTAGTCGACTAATCGGTTTGAGTCATTTTTCATAGAAAAGTACTATAAAAGTACCCCAAAATCCTCTTATTGCAGCTTCTTACATTTAGATATTGGCAGCTTTACACACTCTCCTGTGACAGTGAACTAAAACCCTTTGGCATGAGTATGAAACAAGACATTAGATGACGTAATTTTGGGGTTTGGGCGAGACAGGCCGACATTTTTCAACATTTTAACACATTTTTTGATGAAATGATTAGTCGACTAATCGAAGAAATAATCGACAGATTAGTCGACAATGAAAATAATCGTTAGTGGCAGCCCTAGTATACAGGCAGTCAAAAACATTGGAACCAGGTATTTAATATTACTCCCTCTTATAGTCCTGGTCTTGATTTTCTTGAGATTTGAAAGTCCTCATATAAAGTGTGAGGCGTTAATAGCAAATATGAGTAACAAGTTTATGATGTTTACCTAAATTCATGTGGTCAAGGTGACTTCATTGCACAAGTACATGACTTGCATGCAGTGAGTAGTTCTTGCTGTTATTATTCATTGCTCATAATCAAACTCTAATTTATTAATCTTCCCATCAGTTTGATGCAGTAGCCTAATATACTGTGCAATGAATAAGGATTGATTTTAGGTCCCAGAGCAAAAGCACATTGTTCTGGGAGCCCTTGGACACTGACTTGTTTTTAGGTATAACTTTAAGCTACAGTCAAAATACATTTAAAGCAACACTAAATGCAAACCAATTGAAATTCATTGAGCAAGTATTTGTGGGTTTAAAGTCATTCTGTTGAGCTGAGATGGATTCCACATTCTGTTTGTCGTTGTATGATCTTGTGAAGTATTTTCACGCAAAGCTTGTGGCAGACATTTTGTGTTAGCCTTTTTTGGATGGTAGAGCCTACAATAGATAAATTCAGCGGGCAAATAGGAAGTTACAGTTATGCTGCTGAGTTTTGCATCCCTGCCGACTCAGTGAATTGCATCCAAGCGGGACAACTTTAAGGACTTGTATATTTCTGTAATGACTCCTGTATTTTGTGCATACCAGCCTTTTTGGTATATGCGTAGAATGTAACCAGTATTTCTTGTTTTCCCATTAATTTTTCTCTCGGAAAACAGGAAATACTTTGGATGTGTATTCCCAGGGAATTCCATTTAGCAGGATTAAATCCTGCTACGAATGATGTGCTCTGTGTGATAGAGGGAATTGAGCTGCTATTTGAAAGCAGCTCTGTCTGTTTTCAACCTACACTCAAACTATGCTGGCGCTCAGCCATCTTCAGTTGATATTGTTAACAGCTCTCCTTACAATTCAGTCCTTTGTCCTGCAGTGATGTGTTACACCCAAAGTCATTAAAATTGAAATGAATTCAAAATGTACGAGTTTTTCACACCGCTAACATGCAGCCGAGCAGTTGTTGCAGCTTTGCCTCGGAGGGCGGCAGAGCTGCAAGCCTACAGGAGCTTCTGCTGCTGCCAAGCTATTGTTAGAACAGCAGAAGTAGCCCAGGGGATGGACTGACTCTATCTCACTCCGCTCCCGCTCCCTTGCGTGTTTCTCTTCTGTCTCGTGCGCTCGCAGTCGTTCTTTTTCACTTTGATCTTTCTCTCCATCCTTCTTTCTCTCACATCTGTGTTTTCTTTTTTATCCAGCTCCCTTTTTTCTCTCAAACACGCATCATTTTCTCTCTTCTCAAACTCTCCCTTTTTTTGGTTCATTCATTATAGAACGAGGATGTTTTATTCATTTTGTCTTTAGCCTTGATTTCCTTTGTCATCTAACCACAGGCCTGTCGCATCACAGCAGCACTACTCTCCTGACCCATTTCTCTCCACTGTAGTCACTGCAATATGTCAGTCATAAAATAATATATCACGATAAACAATGATGGCCCATCTGGGTCCTTCTGTGGCACAGTTAACTGGCAAGTGTAACAGCAGGAATCTCATTATGTTTTATGGTATTACAAGGTTATCACTTTCAGTTAGTTCACCGTCAGCAAAATATGAAATCACGTCTCGCTGTGCCACCAGACCCTTATATAGTGAGTAGAAAGAGCATCTTCCCACTTTAACACTTTATTTCAAGACCGTGTGTTGGCAAACAGCCACCCTGCTGAGGTGACTTTGAGCAGGACATGATATCTACTGCTCCATTGGTGCTATCATGTGTCTAACATATTCTTAACCCTACTGTGAAGGTGGAGCAAGAGAAATGAAGAAACTGCCCTAACTATATGGTGCGAGAAACTACTCAGGGCCACTGTGTGTGTATGACCATACAGCAAAATGTGTGAGCTGTGTCATAATGCAAAAAACAACCATTTTCTCTAAACAGGCAAGATGGGATTCTTTTAATCAGTAACAAGTTGTGAATTCTGTGGTATCCTCTCACATAACCATGTTTGTTAACCAAGTCTTTAAAATCAGCAAGTCAGATGCACAAATACAAAATAATTAGATAAATACATCTGTGTAATGTATTTATTTGTGACACACTACTTTTGTCCAAGGGCTAAATTTGTGCTAAGCAAATACAGTGGGGGGCAAAAACAAAAAATAAATAAATAAAAAAGTTTAGAGCTGATTAGCCTGTCATTGTTTATTCATTTTGTATGTATCATTATTGCTATCATAAGCCATTTTTGGCTTCTAACCTCTCTTGCACAGTGTTTTTGTTAATGATCTTTTTATTAATTTTCTTATTTACCAGAACATATCAGAGTACAGAGGTGAATATTAATCACATGGGGGCGGGGGCATAACAACAACAACAACTATAGAAAGTAAAAAATAATAAGAAAGTTATCAAAAATAGAAAAATAAAATAAAATAAAAAATTAAGGTAAAAGAAATAATGATAAAATAAATAAACTTTAAATTCTTACTGTTTTTTTATACACATGTATGTGCAAAAAATAAACTAAACTAAACCAATTGTTTAATAATCTTATCCATAATTCATATAAAATATATCCATATGAAATAATTTCATTCATTCATTCATTATCGTAGCCGCTTATCCTGTTAAGGGTCGCAAGGGGGCTGGAGCTGATATCAGCTGACATTGGGCAAGAATAAATCATTTTAATAAAAAAAAAAAAAAAAATTAAAATAGATAAACTAAATTTTACACAGGTGCAACATGTTAGTTCCCATTCTTGCATGAAGATATTTGCTTGGTTCTAGACTATTGAATCCGTCCTTTTCACTGAGTTGACTGGGACTGTCATGGCCTTGGTGCATGTGTGTGCTTGAGAGAGAAAGACAAAGAGAAAGAGATAGGAAAACAAGGTGGAAGGTGGACTATTGCCATTTTTGTAAGTTAGGCTATTACTATGCTGCCTATTCAGTGTTTTATGCATCACCACTTCTCACTGATAATAAGCTGACAGATGGATTTAAAACATCTTTAATACCTGCAGGATGGAACGCACATAAATGAGGGCTGGTAAATCATTCCATCATTTCACTAAGATAATTTCCATCTCAATTGTTTTTGGGGTAGCTTCAATATAGGAAGAAACAAATGGTAGTTATCTTTAAATAGTGGCACACCTTTTTTACCTGCTCACATTTTCTGAATTGATGAATATGGTTCAGGGCTGTGTGTAGCCCATGGGCTGCCAGTTGATGATCTGTGCTGCAAGTGATAGGTTTTAAAATCCAGGCTCACCTTCAAATCACTCAATATGATGTGGTGAATTTTCTGTCCTATTGTAACGTTTGACATTTTTGAAAAAGGTATATCCAACTTTTTGAAATATGTTGTGAATGTGAAAGTGAATGTCATATTATGTGCCAGTGAATAACACTCCATTACTTATATAAATGAGGCTCTGGGTTGTTGAGGTTTTTCATTCTCTGGTATACCTCACACTGGGCCAGAGTGTGGGGTTCAAACTGTATGGAGGTCTTTGCATGCGTCAGCTGTATGTATGAGTAAGCCTGCTCCTTCTGTCTCTGTGCCTCAGACTGGCATTGAATTTGGGTGCTGTGGGTTATTTCACTCTCTGTGTGGGTGGCTGTGTGTGTGCTGGCTGTATGGTAACTTAGCCAAAATTGTCTCTGTCGTTCTCAGGTATGAGTTGCGGATGCGGTACCTTCCCAAAGGTTACCTCAGCCATTTCTCTGAAGACAAACCCTCTCTCAACTACCTCTATCACCAGGTGAGGCAACACGGCAGCATCACATAAAAAGAAGAGACGGGAAGGTGTCCACATTATACATTTAAAAATAATAAGAGTAAACATCTGCTCTGCTACTTCCTTCCCACAGATAACTAAAAATATACCTAACTGATAACACCTCATTCTACTCTCACATGCCGCTACTGTATAACTTTATCTTTTTTCAGCAGTGTTGTTATAAAATATTTCCACACTGTGTTTCTCCAGGTGAAGAGTGACTACATGCAACATATAGCTGATCAGGTGGATCAAGATGTTGCTCTGAAACTGGGCTGTTTGGAAATTAGGTGAGAAACACGCACACATTAGCTCTTTTGCCACAAGCATGATCAACAAAATATTCTGGTTTCTGACACACATACTTTACTATTTACATCACAGAAGTTTTCCAGAATACCTGAGCTAAAACATCTATTGATGACCATTTAACACTGGTTTTTCTTCTCTCTTTGAATTATACAGGAGGTTCTTCAGAGACATGCCAGGCAACGCCCTGGATAAGAAATCCAATTATGAACTACTAGAGTAAGTCTGATTCTATTTGGTCGCCACAGTGAACCACATTTAGACATGGGATGATATGAAAATTTCATGTTACGATTATCTCGGCCAAAATAATTGAGAGTCACGATATTATCCCAGTAACATGCACTCAAACTTCTGGAATCACTTTACCTTACAGTTTATTAAGAAATGGATATTTTTATTGTGTCACACACAGAACTCATATGTTTTTTTAGTGAACATACTTTCATGTGAAAAACAGCATCAAATTATCTTAAAAAATTGGGCTGTTCAATTGTTTAAAATGACCTCATATGTTTCAATATAAAATATCACAATGCTTGATTAAGACCTTTTACGTTTTCTTGACGGTGGTGTGTGCCCAGCCTCTTTTTACAGAGTTTCTTTTATTGATGGTTGTCCAGCAGTCTCTTTGGGTGCTGCGGAACATGATACTCACAATTATCCTGAAAATGGAAATTCACCATGATCAACTTACTTTGAGTGGGGTTTTTTTTTCATCATGATCCGGAATAAAATCATATGTCATCCCATCTCTAACCACATTACCTCTAATTTAGATTTAGTGTATTTTAAGACATTGTGAGATGGTAGATTTTAACTATTTAAAGATAAATGATGTGATATGATGTGTTATTCTCAGGAAAGATGTTGGTTTGAGAAGGTTCTTCCCCAAAAGCCTGCTGGACTCCCTCAAGGTGAGTCTAAACTGCTCTTAATGTAGAAACATGTCACTGTTTAAGTTTCATTGCCAGATAACAGAAGTGACAGTGGCAGAAAATTTCTGTAGGAATCCCAGTCCTGCTTCATCGGCTGAATGAGCTAATGGCTGTTTGAGTGAGCGGCTGACTGGCAGGGAGACCAACTTGATGACTGAATGGATGTCTGGCTGATTGTCTGATAATCTGATTGCCTGGAATTAAGTTAAACTTCCTGTTGTCACTCGCACTGTGCTTTGTATGTTGTACGCTTCTTGGCTCTGAACCAACTTTCTCCCAGAGAGACTTAACCCCTTACATTTTTTTTCTCTCCTACTCTATCAGGCAAAGACTCTACGTAAACAGATCCAGCAGACCTTTAAGCAGTTCGCAAACCTTAATAATGAGCAGAGCATCCACAAGTTCTTCGAGATACTCTCTCCCATCTACCGCTTTGACAAAGAGTGCTTCAAATGTGCTTTGGGGGTAGGGCAACACTCAATTCATGAAGACAATTACTGTTATGCGTAAAGTTGAATGGTGAAATCCATTCATACATTTTCCATGCCTGAAAAATTCATACTAAGTGAGGAGGTTGAGCCTATTAGCATTCACAGGGTATAGGATGGATTGTCATCTTTAATTTAAAAGGCTTGCCAGAACCATATAAAGTGAGGTTAGCAATTTCAGTTTTAGCATTTTTCCTACAGTCCTGCTTTATATAAATATATTGCTCCTATTATACAGTTCTCTGCAGCAATCCATTAAAACTGTCATCTACAGAACGCAAACCTTCCTCTGTCCTGGAAGGCAAACATCAAAAGTAGTGGAGACAGATGAGAACATTAAAATTGTTTTAAGCTATTAATAATAGATTTTTGCCAGTACTTTGTTAAGTTAATAAAGTAGATGATATAATAAGATGTGGCATCTCTTTTAATGCTATTTGTATCTCACTGTCTTTCTCTAACCCTCTCCAGTCTAGTTGGGTAATATCAGTAGAGTTAGCTATTGGACCAGAAGAAGGAATCAGCTACCTCACAGATAAGGGTTCAATGGTGAGTATGCACTCAGACAACTCATTTCAATCAAGGTAGAATTTTGCACTCAATCAGTCCTCAGTAAAAGTGTAGCCACATCAAAGTTCACTTCCTTTCAGATATGGTCTGATTTATGTATCTGGTCCAGCTAACAGGTGATCTAGCTCAGTATTTTTCATGGACTTAAGAAGGCTTTTCAGCACTACTGTACACTGCAGTAGTGCTGAAAAGCCTGCATGCTTTCAACTAAAGGCTAGACCGGCAATCCACCACACTGCCCTCTACTGGTTCACCTCTCCAGTAGACAGATTTTCTCGTGTCTTCCTACTTGCCCAAGTTCAAACAAATCTTGAAATGCCAGTGGTCAGGTAGTCTTTATTACAAACAGCATTCCCAGGGGGCCTTGAAATCCTTGAAGGTTTGCTAATTTGAGAGGGAAAAAAAATTCAAGGTTTTTAAAATAGACATAAACAGATGTAGATCATTGCAAGTGCTTGAATTTATATATTTTGTGCGAAAATAGAAATGATCTGCCTCTTATTGCTCAACCTAAAGAATATATTGTTTTGATTTGCTGTTAGAGAAGAGACCACATACTCAACCATCACTCCCAGCAGCACAATTGAGAAGTCTTCACACATTCAAACCTCTTTCTCTCTCTCTCTTTTATTGTTGCCTGTGAGATTGTGTAAAACTTGTTAGTTCTCATTGAATACAAATTCTCTTGATCTTCGTCTCAAACTATGTTGCATTGGTTGCTTGAATTATCAGGGAATTGGGCGTGGAAAGTCTTTGAAAAGACCTTGAATTTAATGTTTAGGAAGGTGTGGCGACCCTACCCTATACAAAACAGATAATGTGTTCTCTATGTGGTATCACCATGTGATGTGGTAAGGAAATCTACACAGCTGCCTAAAGGCTACAGTTTTTCTGAAAATAACTTTGTGTCATATTCGCTGAAACTGTCATTATATTCTGAAAGAAGTGCATGAGACAGTTAATTCCCTCCTCCTCTTTCTACCTCTTTGTAATGGCATGCCCAACAATCGATCATGGTGTACCAAAAGTTACCAATCAGAGCCGAGAAGTTTCTTACACAGCTGTCAGTCATGTCAGAAACTGCTTGTGAACTGTAGTCAAACTGTCAAACTTGGCAGTGCTATTTCTCGCCTTAAATGTGTTCAGAAACATATTTTAGTGTACTGTTTTTGCTGTAAAATTAGAATGTCTGTGACCCAACTGCCACGTTGGTAATAGCTGACTGAAGTATGAAGCACTGCACATGGGCCGGGCCAGCTTTCTCATTTTACAGTACACTAAAATATGTTTCTGAAAACAATAGGCAACGCAGTAAGAGAATCTTGACTCGTATTTGATCAGCACTGCCTAGTTTGATAGTTTGACCGAAGTTCACATGGACATGATTGACAGCTGAGTGAGAGACTCCTCGGCTCTGTGTGAATATAGGGACAGTTTCAGCAAATATTAAAAGCCTTGTTTTTATAAAAGTTAACCACTGTAGTTTTGAGGAGGTGCTGGCTGCAGGGCCAACTCAAAATGCATGAAACGTCTGCACACCTGTAACTCCAGTGTTTAAATTAAGTTATTCAATTTCAAGTTAATGATGACAGACTGCCTGTCAAAATGTCTACAGTTAATTTAATAAGTCGATCATGGAGCGTGCCCCATTTGGCCTTCATAAACGCATTAAAATTCACTCTTGGTGACATTGTTCTTCTTGTGCTCCATGTGAAAAGACTGTGATTCCTGTGACTGGCATTGTTGTATGTAAAAATAGAAATACATGACTAACTAGTACCATGGAAAAAATGTCTCAACCCTGTGCTTTCTTGCATGAAAGATCTACAGTTCTTTGAAAAGCTCATTTCCACTAAGCTGAATAAAGGGCACCAACATATACAGTAGGTTATACATGGTTTTTAATATGTCTGTGTGTCTGTCTTTGTTTCAGCAGCCCACACACTTAGCTAATTTTAACCAGGTTCAGTCCATCCAGTACTCTGCTCTGGAAGAGAAGGACAGGAAAGGCATGCTGCAGCTAAACGTAGCAGGAGCTCCAGAGGTGAAAACACACACACACACTTGGCATATTACTCTCATGGCATTTCCATTGTGGAGTGGTTCTTTATTAAACATTACTTATTGCCTGTGGTTTGCATATTAGGTTTGCTGTTACACTTAATGCTGTATTAAAATTTGTAATGAACATCATATTTTAAGTTGTAGTAACAAACTGTCTGAAGTAAAAACATAAAAAGATGTACGGGAAAAAAGGAACAGCACACTGGAGGGTGAAGGCGGGTGTTGCCATCTGCACTTGAGTGTCGGTGTGAGTGTGTCTGTCGAGAGTGGGTGTGTGTTCGCAGCAGGCCCTACTAGCGGAAAAGCATGTGTGCATCAGAGTATCTGTGTAGGGATGTGTGTGTGTGTAAGACTGAGCGTGTGTATATGTGCACTGGTAGAAGACGTTACCCCAAATAAAGCTCTCATTGTGTCACTGTGAAACAACGCTCTGTCCCACTAATCCTCTGCGTGTGCGTGTGTGTAGCCCCTCACAGTCACCACGGCATCGCTGACTACGGCAGAAAACATGGCTGACTTGATTGACGGCTACTGTCGGCTCGTCTCCTTAGCTACACGCTCCTTCATTGTCAGAGTCCACAAAGGTAGGACGCACAACTACTCATGCATTTATTTCATGTTCACTGAGCTCCTTACATTTTAATTTTTTGGGGTCTTTGCAGCGTTATAATGACACAGTTCTGTGCAGCTAAATGATGATTGAGATCATTTTTTATATTTTTTAGACGGTAACAGAAGGAAATAACTATAAATAGTACCCAGGGTTGAAATTGCTGTCAGCCATCTTTCAAACAGTATCTTGGACTGACTGATGAGGCTTTGTCACTTTGAATAACCAGACTGTGTTTCGCTAGTCTTTTCTAAAAATAACTATAGCTACAAAGATGTAGTGCTAACATGAGGGCGGTCTGTTCTGTGTCTAATTCATGTGTTCATTTTATGTCTGCAGAGGGGGACAGAGCTCTGCCATCCATTCCCAAGTAAGTCAAAAGATCCTTTCTGTCTCATTACGCTCAGTATCGGGTAAAAACAAGGTGTCACTTTGCTATGAGACATAAAAGAGGTATAGTTAAGCTGCAGGTGTTACATAAGTTACATACATAATGCATTTTTAACCCTTTTTAGATCACAAAATTATCATTGCTTCATATTCTTATCTCATAATTCAATCATGTTTTCTTCCTGTAAAACAAAATATGACGTGCTACATAAGATGGTACCAACCACTTTGAACCAATAATATCACGACATCCACCCATCAGTCAGTCTGCGACCTTTAGGTGCATGGAGCTAAGATTAACTCGTTAGCAAACTAGCATCAGCATGCCGTGCAGGTGTGTCTTTGGGTGTTCCCACCTCAAACCTTATGTTACATTTCCCCCAACATACCTTGTTAATGTGTCATTCATTTTACAGTATACTGCCTCAGCCACTATTTGGAGCATACAATACACTTTGCCTCTCTTCCGTACAGATGCTGCTGTCCAGTCAGTCCCCATGGTTGTTGTGACACGCCCACTTTTTAACAATCAAATCAAAGTCCAGCGTTATATCCCACTTGCCTATCCTTTTTCACTGTGAAGTACATCACTATACTAAAGCTAGATACTCTTGAAATGTCATGTCATCTGGACTGTAACCTGAACAACATAGTTTTTTGTCTTAAGTGAATTTTATTTAGTGGTTCCACTCATTTTGAATTTGTTTTGAGGGAAATTTGAACAGCAGGTTTCAGCTTGTGCTAACAACTGTATTTTATTTTTCTTTAGCAGTCCTTGGGCTTGAATCCAGAGCAATATCTCAATCTTGATAATTTGATTTTAAGTCCTGGAATTGCCCATATTGTTGATACAATATTCTGTATTAGATAAAGACATGTGTTGTTAATTTTCTAATGTTTGACATAAAGCTACACACATGACAGGATGTGGGAGGGTCCTCCATTCCTCTGGGTGCACTACTATCTTCATAGCTATAACTGGAGACTCATCCAGAATACATTAGTTTGGGTTAATGTGGGCCAAAAACTGATCTTCTCATCTCTCATCCAGAGTTTCAAATCATGAGAGGCGGATGGAAAAACGGATGGACGGAGTACGGACCCGAGCTGTTTGCATCTCAGGTATAAACCCCTGTCTCGCTTTCTCTTTCTTTGTTGGTCTGTTTCTCCCCTGTTGATCTTCCTCTCCGTCTGCCGCTCTAAATGTCATGAATGACTGACTGCTAACAGTTAGATAAAGGGTTCATAGATATGTGTGCGTACCCTGTTTCCTCTATAAAGCCTCATCTGTGTGTGTGCAGTGAAGAGTCCTTGTCTCACCAGATGTCCACATGGAGAGCTTTAGTCACTGTCACTCTTCCTCTGCCCTGACTGTCCCGACTGACCTCTGACGAACTCACAGTTACACAGAATTTAATGAAAATAACCTCTAATATAGTATCAAGTCATTAAATAACACCTTTAACCTTATCTGTATATCTTCTAACAGTAAACTTATACTAATCTCCCTTTATTTCCCTCTGTGTGTGTTTCATGCTGCATGTGGCTTCTGCAGGTCACACTAGTGGCGATGGTAAACAACATTCTTTCTATTAACCATCCTGAATTAGTAACTCAATGGAATTCCCGCTCTATGTTTGCATTAAGCTCACTGTATGTGTGTACTGTATCTCTGTATCTGTGCCTGTAACGGTTTCGGCCTTATCCATGACTCAACCTGTTATTCTTCAACTTGTTTCTCTGGAAAGAATGAACCTTTCCATCCCTCCCCTTTCCTCTGCTCTGCGCCTCTCTCTCTGTCTCTCCCTTTCCCTCTCTGCATCTCTATTGTACTCTCCTCTCCTACATTCCTCGAGTGCAGCTGTTTTTATAGTCCATGAAAGTTTAAATTGTTGTGCATGTGTTTGGAATCGGGTATGGTGACGGTCTTTTGGAAAGGTACATCTGTCTGATGATGGTGTGTTTTCTGTTACTGTTGTCCTTTTCACTCTTGTTTGTCTGTGGATGTGTGTTCACAGAACTTCTTGAGTTGCATGCAGTGATTTTATTTGTGAGATTCTTATAGTGGAAATGTTGGATCGAAGTATGCTACAGCAACAAGGGTTATATTTGCAGCAGAGTTTTGATTGGTGCTGTGTCAGATAACCTCCAAGTTGAATGCTGTCTGGGTGACTCAATCTGTTATGTCAGTGTGGAGTTTTATTCGAGAGCTTCTTGTCAACTCTTCTCCTTCATCTCTTTTGTGTATGACCCACTGAGACTTAATGTTTCTTGGCTCTTTTTTCTCTCCCTCTTCACTGTGGCTCCACAGAAACGGATGACTATGCTGAGATCATAGATGAGGAGGACACCTATACCATGCCTTCAAGTAAGTGCTCACGACATGCACACAGACATTATGGGCAGCTAATGTTACACGCGGAGACACAGAGTGAAAGGATGTGCTTGTGCACTTGTGCTCTGTGGATCCCTTCAGACTTGTGCAGCATACTGTGGGGCGAATCCACAAAGAATGTATTGCGGCTGCAACCGCTACCTGGCCTGTCTCAAGGTGTGACTCACAAAAGATATTGTGGTAATGACGTCGTAGCGGAAACACACCCATAAGGTTTAACAGCTGAGTGCAAATTGCCCTTTTATTCTACATGTGGCAGAGTATAATTGTTGCACCAAGATCACAGTAGGCAGAACACTGACAGAAAGATAAAGAAAACTGAAATTAAAAAATTAAAATGTGACAGAGAGAAACCGTATTTAGGATTTAATATCCCCGTCTGTCAGTGCGCTTCAGTTCCCACCAACTCTATAAAGATGCTAATAATTTCAATGTAACTGAGTGTGGCTTTTAATGCTGTCTTTGCAGTGAGGCTTATTTGCATCAAAGGGCACCAAATGTATGCATGTTACCAACATTACACTATTTGCTCGGCAGCACAGTTAGGGGTGCGTTTCACCCTTTGCGGGCACTTTGAGAATGACATTTTTGCTGTCTTATATTTGCAAGTTTAGCAGCCGTAAAAGCTGTGTAAATTTTGTGAATTCGCCCGTGTGTGTGTGTGCATCAAAGTTCGGCAAGATGATGGATAGAGGATGACAGGTAGCCTTTTGTCAGGTCTGTACACGCTATGAATGTGTGTTTGGAGACAGATGATTTCTGCGTGTCTCTCAGCCTCACCCTGTGGTTGTTTATATTCGGTGAAAACATCATCAACTGACGAGCTTACACAATAAATAATATATTATTTAATCAAGTAATTGGTATTGTGAACTGTGGTGTGACCCAATCAGCATTGTTGAGAGTATCTTAAAATTCTGTGAATGAGCTGCTTTAAATATTTCATCACACTCCACCATACAGGAGGATTAAATTATAATTATAAATCTATTCAGGCTTCAGTTTTGAATTAAACTATTTTTAGACTGGTGGGTGAGGGATTGCAGGCGAAATAATGACTGAGGCTTGAATGAATCTACATTTTCCATGGTCACATGATGCCATCTTATATGAAAAAGGGGAAACCACTGGAACCACACGTTGTCTTTGTATTAATAGATCTGCAATCTATATTTGTTTCAGTGAGATGTCACAAGCTTCCTCAGACTGCTTTGAGACATCATATCAACGCAATGCTTACGTTACAGTGAACATTTTTTATCCTGCTTATTGCTATTATGATAGGTGTTGACATTAATCTAGAGGTTTGTCTGGCCTGAAGGCTTCTGTAGGATGTCTTTGCATTATCACCTGAAATTTTAAATATGAGCTTAAACATGAAAAGGGCCTGCTGTGTTGTTGCTGCGGCTGAGTGTTGCCTGCTCACCAGGTTAAGGACTGTTGTTCATATTACGCTGAGTGGTGATGCTACATAGGCAACATTTAGAGGCAGTGGAGATGTCACCGCTAATGTATGACAGGGAAAGCAGCTTACAAATATTCCCCATTTAACGCGCCTCAAAATGTTGCCTGGGTATCACAAGCCTAAGTTATTCCATGCAAACAGATTTCAACATGGCTTTGCTTTTTGACCATTCATAAATTATAGCCTTCATCAAAGTCTCGTGGGCAGTTGTAAACACAGAAAACGCATACAGAGAGCAAGTTGAGCAGCATAAAGAGAAAGCTAGATGTCCACTGGTAAACACGCTGCATGACTTTTTATAAGATCACACACTCAAACATGCAAAGCCAGCCAAGGTCACGTTAGCTGTTCATGTCTAGACTGACTCCATGTCTGTTTTGGTTCTGTTAAAAAGCAGGTTGCCAAGCAATAAAAGGGGTCAGTGTGGTGTTTACGTTGTGTTCGCATCATAAAATACACCTTTTATGAACTGTTGGAGCTAGTTAGGGGTGACAAGTGCTGTGCGTGTGTCGTGCATGATTTTGCCCCTCGTACATACACAACAGTAACAGCTAAATTTTAGTTTATTTTAAATGTTCTCGTTGATATAGTTTTGACATCATATTATAACAGCAAAATAGGTCAGTGTATTTAATGACAGTTGTCTTTATGAGCCTGTGATAATGCTGGAAGGTCAACTTAAATAAACTAAAATTTACCTTTAGACAAAACACCAAAAAGCTTTTAGTATCAAAGAACAAGTTATTATATGATACATGAAAATGGACATGCTGGTGATATAGTCACAGACATACAGAAACTAACTTAACCTAATTCATCTGCATCAGTCTAACACCTACAGTGCAATCATGGCAATTGTTAAAGACTGCAGTCACAGTTCATGGATCTCTGTACTCACAGCTAGTTATTTCTGTCTCCTATCACTAACCCGTTTTCCCAGAATACTATGGACTAGATCAAGGTAATGAGTCTGGCTGTATTGTGATGGCACTTTGATTTGGTGGTTGTTGTGATCCTTATTTTTATGTTTGCTTGCTACTGTAAAATAAAACTGAATTTGTTTCTGTATCTGTACCCTGTTGATTTGACCCCTCCTCTGTTGATGTTTGATGTGCTGTCAGTTTTGGGCTGAAATAATGGTAGCTGCAGAGCTCAACCCTCGTGGCTGGACAAGGATCTTCGTCTTTATTTTGCTGTTTAAAGAAAAAAAAGGACGAACAAACTGTATTCAGTTACGTGATCGTAAAGATCGACACCATTTGACAACATGCATGTTGTTGAAACCTGTTTACTGCTCAGGGTAACAGCTACATTTATATACCGTTTAACCAGGCAAGTTGACTCAGAGCATGTTCCTATTTACAACTTTAGCCTGGAAGAGGAAGTGAGTGAGGCAGAAGGGTTAAAATAGATGCATATATATATATGCATATATAAATACTGTTAACATTTCAAACCCAAACCACTAACACACAGGGTAGTCCCACTTCATTGTTTAACCATAATGATCTACTTTTTTAAGATCAGGTTACATGGGCGACATTTAGAGGCAGGGCACACACAGACATTAATTAGGGCCAACTGTATATTTTTGTTACTATACTATATGTTGCAACCTCATTTAGTCTCTTTCCCACTGCAGGCATTTTTATTGCCCGGCGTAGTTGTCTCTAAAGGTCGCACATGTGCAGGACATTTCACAACCAAACTGTATAAAAGAGAAGCCAGAGATTGGTTAAATCTCATATGCTTATGTATGCTCATATATCCTTATGCTGATTACATGGACAAAGTCAGGTCAACAGTGTCAGCAAACCACCAGTCTCTCAACAGCCAACACTTCACAGACCTTTTTGATCCGAATTTTCTTGACAAAAAAAAAAAAAATACAAAAGACCATTGACTGACTTTAATAACAGAGATACAAATGCACCACTGGACTTAAATCAGCCTGTGTGCTTTGAATTACTTGTCACAATTATACAATCCACCTGACTTTATCCATTTTACATTTGATTTCATGTGAATATTCATGTTCATATATACATTGAGTTTTACCGGCTGTAGTTCATCCGTGTTACATGGCATGTCTGGCTGTAGTTTGCTGATGCTGTTCTTGCATGCTGTTGACATTGAGCTATGCTGATCGCTATAAAACTAAGCTTGTCAAAGTAGGACGGTGAATTAACTTTATTCATCTGAAAGTTTAGGATAATTCAATTTGAATAGCAAAGACTCCGCCACAGACTGTATAAAAGTGAGTAGTAGATATCGCCACCATAACCCACTGGTTTGTGGAGAATTGTTTTGAAGCTAAGAGTTTGGCATTTTGGCAATTGCCATCTTGGTTTTTGGAACCAGAAGTGACCATATGTGGATGAGGATACGTTTCACTGCGCCTGTATCTTGATTGACAGGACGCCATAATAGCAACTTGTCAATCACAAGGAAGCCAAGCCCTAAGGCATACCTTGCTTTATAGTCTGTTTTACTCTGAATGGGGCCATTATTTACAAAATAAACATCATGCTTTATGGAAGAAGACTTGAAACCAGCAACTGAGAACATAACTCATTAGGAAAATGTTTACTGAGGTAATAAATCAAGTGAGAAGTGTAGTCATTTTCTTATAGGCTTCTGTACAATTGTATTCCTTTTGCAACCAGTGGAGTTGCCCCCTGCTGGCCATTAGAAAGAATGCAGGATTAAGGCACTCCTGCCCTCACCTGGCTTTATACTTTTCAGACCTGAAAGCTATGCTCATTTCTTTTAGGGCTCCTACACAAGCCTTATCTTATTACCAACAAGGTTGGGTGCAGGGTGCTACTCTTGGGCTAACTTTCGAGGGCTTAGTGGCAAGTTGCATCTGACACTGCTTAGTGATCATACCCAGGACCATGTCATAGCCCACTTATCACAATTACCTTGTTCGGGGCAGATTTTCTCTGGGGCGTTGTTTTTTAAGTGTGTATGAAAATATTGTCTGTGGGACAGGTCGTACAGCTCTGAGTAGCCATGCACTAAAATGATTAACTTCTCCTCCTTATTTACTGATATATACTGAAAGAAGGAAAGCTCTCTGATGGCAGTGACTGGTTGTTCCTCTTCACATGACATGATGCTGCTGCATTCCAAAAGCTGAACTTGTTTATCTCAGGGCGCAGCCGTAGCACCCTGAAAAATAGGTGCTTGGGAGCACTTGCGCATCTCAACAGCGTCGAAACTGCTGCGAAACCTGCAGCATTTATCGGGGCTCTTGTACAGTCTGTGGTTGCACACATGAAATTGTCTGGTCTGTTTCCAGAGCTGCGTCTTCTTCAAATGGCAACTTTGTATGATTTACTGGAAGAAAGGTCTCGAAAGCTGATCATCAAAATCAGTTTGACGTTTTCTAAGGCAGATCTAAACAAACTCTACACACTGTGAAACACTCTGACAAGCTTAGTAAATGTAAGGGTCGACTAAGAAGTCTATGTGCAGGCACTGATGCGTGTGTTTGATCTGAAGGTCTTCTCTGTTTGTGTGTCTCCATCTGTGTGTGTTTGTGTGTGCGCGCGTGTGTGTGTGTTCATGTCAATGTATATTGTGTGTGTATAGCACGGGACTATGAGATTCAGCGAGATCGTATTGAGTTGGGACGCTGCATAGGTGAGGGTCAGTTTGGAGACGTCCACCAAGGAGTCTACATCAGCCCGGTATGCACAGTGGTCTCTCTCTCACACACACGATCATTTAATGTCTTAACCAGTAAGGGGTTGACAGGTGACAAAAATGCAAACCCATGCTAATGTTGTAGCATTAAAGCATTCACTCGCATCTTTACAAACAAAACTGGTTCATCTTCTTACATTTAAAAGCAGAGAAATCTGCTGCTGACCTTATTATACATGTGTGTAATTAATGCTGCCTCTTTCTCACCCCCTTCGTCTTTGTTCTCTCACGCTCTGCTTGCAAAGTCACTTTGAAGCTAGACTAAAAAGAATGAACTGAACTTGAACTCACATCAGAATAACTGCACATATAGAGTATAGTTGTAACAGAAGAAAATGATGGGATGGGCTCGCCACTCTAAAACTGATATACTCACAAATCTCATGATTTACTTTGAATAGGCGACACACAAACATCATATATTCTCACTGCATTTTGATAGACAATAAATTTGCTTAATAAAAACAATTCTGTTGTAGTGCTGATTGTTTGCCTCGATCTATGTCTTGCAGGAGAACCCAGCTCTGTCTGTGGCAGTGAAGACGTGTAAGAACTCAACGTCAGACAGTGTCAGGGAAAAGTTTCTCCAAGAAGCATGTAAGTTGCTCTCTTATAAATTTGTGTAATAGCACTTTTAGTACAAAAAACTTAAAATCTGTTTGCGACTGACACATCCTCCCCCTTCTTCTTCTCTCCCTGCAGTGACCATGCGTCAGTTTGACCACCCTCATATAGTGAAGCTGATGGGAGTCATCACTGATAATCCAGTCTGGATCATCATGGAGCTCTGCACACTCGGAGAGGTAGGAAACTGATAAGAATTTGTGTAAACGTGCGCTCAAGGATAAATCAATTACTTGATCAAGAGAACATTAATAGGCAACAATATGATAATAAAAGATAGTTGTAGTATTTTTCTCAGCAAAAGACAAAACATTTGCTGTTTTTATGCTTCATTAATGTGAGAATTTGATGCTTTTTGTTGTTGTACATGATAATAAACTGAACAGCTTTGGCTTTTTGCACTGTTGGTCAGATAAAACATTACATTTGAAGACATCACAGGGCATGTTTTAATATTTTCTGACATTTTATTGACAAAACAGCAATAAACTAATCGAGGGCAAATTAATTTATAACAAAAATATTTGTTGGGTCTGGGTGTAAATCAGATTGTGAAAAATATCATCTGCAGGCAAACACTTTAACTGTGATTTAAAAAAAAAAATTTTAAGTATCTTTGTCATAATCAATAGCTCATTTCTGCTTTCCATTTTGCTCTTCACTTTGTAACAGTGAAGCGCCTTGAGCTGCGTTGACTTTTTCACCATCAAATTGTGTCCCTCTCCTCTCTCACGTCCTTTTATCTTTGTCTTTTTGTCCCATCCTCCATAGTTACGGTCATTCCTCCAGGTGAGGAAGTATAGTCTCGATTTGGCCACACTCATCTTGTACTCGTACCAGCTCAGCATGGCACTGGCATATCTGGAGAGCAAGCGCTTCGTACACAGGTATGTATTCAACCCCAATATACAAGAACAATTTAAAATATTAAAGTTAATATTCCACTACTAGTAGTGCTAAGGGGCCACAGCAGCAATTACATTAAATCGTTAAATCATTAATTTACCAAATAATTAGTGTTTCTAAATGATCATTAGGCAGCTTTATTTAGGCATGTATAATAATGTAGGGCAGTCGGATGTCAAGGAATATTTTTTTATGGCAAATGTATATATTCTGTAAACCACAGCCCAGTGTTGCCACCTACTGGAAGAATTGCAATGTATTTACTGCTAAAAAAAGAAATGTGTGGAAAAATATTGTCATGTTGATGCCCAGAACTTCTCGTAAAGAATGAAGCATACTAGCGATTATCATGATGTTATTCTAAAAGCTACGCAAGATGTATTTTATTACGTTATGTGACAGGTGTTCGGTCATGTAGATAAATAGAATTAATGTCAGCATGTCTTCATTTTGGTTCTGTCCTCCTCAGGGACATCGCAGCGCGGAACGTGTTGGTGTCGACAGTCGACTGTGTAAAACTTGGCGACTTTGGTTTGTCTCGATACATGGAAGATAGCTCTTATTATAAAGGTAAATATAACACCTCTCTACACGCACAGCGTTCCCATAAATGTGCACTTCACCATCTGCTTGTCTTTGGTCTTTCACAACACATAGCGGAATTTACAATTATTATTCATTGGATGGACGTGAGCAGAGCTGACTATTAAAGTGTGACACAGCTCTCCTGATCTTTGTTTTTCAGCCTCTAAAGGTAAACTGCCTATTAAATGGATGGCTCCAGAATCCATCAACTTCAGACGATTTACCACAGCCAGTGACGTCTGGATGTTTGGTAAGTTTGATTCTGTGTTTTCTTCCTTTCATTATTTCTGTGTCAGTTTTGTCCTGATGTTTTGATGTTTTTAGCTTTGCAGAAAGCTGTGCAGAATTTAAGAGCCAGTCAGAGGCTGTAGTGAGTGAGTGAGTTTTTATATTTTTCTGTCTTCCCATAGGCGTCTGTATGTGGGAGATCCTCATGTTCGGCATCAAGCCTTTCCAGGGTGTGAAGAACAACGACGTCATAGGCAGGATAGAGAACGGCGAGCGGCTGGCGATGCCCCCCCAGTGCCCTCCTACTCTCTACAGCTTGATGACAAAGTGTTGGTCGTATGATCCCAGCAAGAGGCCACGCTTCACTGAACTCAAAACACAACTGAGGTACTGAATGGAGTGTGGTTTGAGAGTGTGCGAGTGTCTTTGTGTGTTTCTGCACCTGTGATTGGGGGTTCAGTGTCTTGCTCAAGGACACAAACCGCCAATACGCTACCTCTTGAGCATTGTGAGAATGGTGAATTATATCTATGTATGCTTTACCTCAGCTGAAGAGGCATACAGTGTATATGTTTCCAGTGCACGAGGCATTGCTTGTCCCTCATAGTGAGCTTTAGGTGTGATGCACTGAGTGAAAGAAGCTTGTAGAATGACATTACATGTGGGAAAAAAAGATCCAGTGGCACATTTTTACATTATTTTTTTAATTTGCACATAAAAATTGGAACAAAAAATGTATGTTTTTACTCAGACAGCCTCCCAATAGATCTCCCCCCAACACAGCCCATCTTTGATTTCTGCACTCAGTTATTTTCTTCTAATGACCTACTGTTATCGTAATTTTTTTTATATACAAACAGTAAAATACCAGTAGGAACAACATAAAAGTGAACAAGAATTGAGAATTCCACAAATTCTATAATCAGAAATAGAAAAAAGGAGCAGAATAAGTGATAATTGAAATAAAAATGTTAGTAAATTATAATCCTAAGAAACGATACAATAAAAGGAAACATACGTAACATCAAACTGGCCACAGACATACATGCAAATCCATTACACAATCAGGTGATTACAGATGGTCCAACATCTGGAAGGGGTTAAGCTTATGGCCTCTTTTACTGACCATTCACAAAGTCCAGGTATTGCCCCCATTCCTGATCATCGTTTTCCTCCTGGTTAGTTGACTGAACCTTACCTTCACTGGGGGAAAATGTGTATGGACTATGATTCTCCCACCCAGCACAGGAGCTGTATGAATCCAATCTGTATCAGATATGGGAGATCATTTGGGATCACCAAAAACGTAGAAACTAGGAGAGAATTCTCAGACTAAGTTTCAAAATTTGACTTTCAATCTGTCATTTAAAAGTGAAGTTATGATATTTGATCATTGTGAATCCCACTGCCTGTTGTTCTTTTCCATATTCTCAGTCATAGTTAAGATAAAGGAATGAAACACAGTAAACTATATTTTCCTGAGGAAGTGTTTCCTTATGCCTGCCTAACAGCAGGTGTCACTGTTTGCATTAATTAGAATAATCTGTCAAGATGAATGGAGCAGACAAAAACCTTCAGCAAATATTATACGTTTAAAATTAAGTAACATACTTTAGCCATTATCTTTGGCTGATGGTTAAACATTAAAGATGGACAATCAGATACAGACGGGTGAGCAGAAAGGCAGTGACGTTATCCAGCTGAGGTCATATTTACATGCTTGCTTGTTTTCACTGAGATGGCAGACTGAAACTATCTTGGCAGGAAGGTGCGTGTTGTTTTCTCTGATTTAATCTTAGTTCAAAATACTACATTAATTTTTTTTTAATTTAATAAGAGATGTGGAGGCAATGGGGAAGTCAATTCCTGAGATGATACATGTGTATTGTATTATATATTACTCCAAACTGAAGTTTGTGGATAAAAACATATATTCACATTTTCTGAATATTACAAACATGTTTATTTTTGACAGCAGCTGCAGTTAGTGAAGTATTACATTTTCCAATACCTTCTCTGCAGCAGGGTCATGTACAGCGCTGTGTTGAGTTTTTATTGTTGTTTTGCTTGAATCCATTCGACTGCAATTGCTTTCATCTTTAAGGATGTTTGACCTTGTTTGCACTCATACTGAAAGATTAATAAAAGATTGCTAGTACATTTTTACCCTGGTATGTACACAAAGGACGACAGTTTCTACATGTTTCAACACTTTGACCTCATAGTGATTGGATATTAAATGGAGTACACAGCCAAAACATTACTACCGTAATGCTTGACAGACTGCACTTTACCTCCTGTTTGGGCTGATGGCATTACGGTCGTCATGGTAAAAGAGATGTGATGATGACAGAGATAAATTAAATGAGATATCTTGGTCACGCCTCGCTTCCTCGTTGAATGATACATCACTGCCTTGTTAGTAGCTTTGCCCGTAGACAGATCTGGAAAAGGAGAGAGATGTAATCCATCAAGAGACAATATCCCGGGCATATTGTGATCAGATAAGGCAGAGCTAGACAACACTCAACACAATTGCTGTAAATGCTGCGTAAGTCATCACTGTGATGTTTAACACCGGAATGGTCCAAGTTTTCATGAGTCAAACTATGTCATACAAGTAACTGAGTCAGACCATTTGTGAAATGTTTCATTAAATATAGCGAGAGCTGCACTCTTAAGACTCAAACAAAATCTTTAATTTTAATCCCATGAACACTAGAGAATGGTGTCAGTCATCATTAGGTGCCAAAGGGAGAGGAAAAGCTCTATAAACCTGACATGTTTTAGGATTTATGCAAGTCAGTGTGCGGTTATGGTGTGTGCTTATAATGCAAATCATTGGATGCTTACAGTCAAAACCCCCAGCATTCAGATCATAATTTTCCCCAACATGCATTCACTAAGATTCAACCAGATGAATTTAAATAAATTGAGGTATGTTCATGTTCATGTGAGGCTTGATAAGATCTTTGGCTCTGCTTTGTGTAACAGAGCTGGGACTCCTGTCAGGACAGAGATACAAGCAGCAGTAATATTTTAGTAATTTAGTAAAAACACATTTTGTTTGACTTGAAAGAAAATTAGTGGTTTCCTTTCCACTATATTTCCATTCATCAGAGGTAAGCAGGGGTACAGTAGGAGTAAGGCTTTTCCCGGCCACCATGAATCAGCAATTCATAACCATTTAGACATGAACAGACCTGAAGATTTTTGCCAGTGATGCTTCAGCTGATTGCAGGATAGGTCATAATAACAGGAGTAGTGCTGGTGGTGATGAAAAAACTAGAGCAGGAGTTGTAGATGACTCTACAGTGGAAACAACTAAAGACATTTATATGTAACACAGATTTCACATGAATTTCACATTCAGTAAGTAACGTCAGAGTCTGAACTTAAGATGAGACACTTGTACACTAATTTGGGTGTGCCAGGTGTGTTTCCCTTCATGAATTTCAACAAAACAGCTTCTGATTGTACAGATTAATGCGCCAAAGACAGTACTTCTTTATTATTATTATCTAGTTCTGTACAAGTCATTTAGTCTAGACATACACTACTTTTGAATAGTTTGGAATCACCTATTTTGTTGATGATTTCCTTCTTTCCTTTAATAATGGCTATTTTCACAGTAATAAAAAATGTATATTTCAGACACCAAATTTAATTTTTACATGCGAAACAGTTTGGGTCCCAAAAGAAAAAAACAAAATAATCAAAGCCTCCACTGAGTTGATGTCCTCTGGGACAATATATCGTCCACCAAAAGTAGTTATCATGACAGGCCTGCATTTAAAACTGACACAGGAACCTGCTCCTATTTAAACATGCACACATTTTGATGCTAAGCTTCCAGTGTCTTTACCCAGTTAGTGGTGATGTCCTCTCTTCTTATTTAACTGTTGCTCAGGGGGATCTTTGTCTCTTTCTGTCCTTTCAGTTTTCAGTCTGCTTAAACCATTGAGCTTTATTCTCCATGTACAAAATAAACCCTTTATACAAAATAACATCAATTTTTAAAGAGGACTTTCTACAACCTAAAAGCAACAAGAGCATCCAAAAATATTGACCTGTCCTCAGACATCTGACTTGACTCAATCAAGCTATCATGGCAGAAGATTCAAATATTTTGAATGAGTAGTTATCATTATATGGATTCTCTGGACAACGATACGATATTCTAGATTCTGCCATGACACGATTTCAATTCAATGCACTTTAAGGGGCTGAGATCCATATGAGATTATCTGCCCATTTGACACAGTCAGTTTCAGACGACGCTGCCACCCTTTTGTTTTTTGTTTGTGGCCATAAAATCTAAAAAAAACCCAACAACAACACATAGATAATGTAAGTAATTGTAATGCTTATGTGCAGTAAAGTTTACTCTAAACTGACTCCCCTAATACACATCAAACAGCACATGGGATAAGTTAAACTTCATTGCTCTCTGTTAGAGACGTTTCTGGACAAAAATGTTTTCATTTTAACCCAGACCATCATCTTTTTCCTAAAACTTCAAAGCTATCGGGCTTAAAGCCCTGAAGGCAAACTTCTCCCAACAGCCATAAAACTTTTAACAGCAACATAGTTTACAAAAGTATCAAACTCAGCTCAGTAATAACTGTCAGTGTTCGTGGACACAACAATTGTTTTTTGCTAGTCACCCATTATTAGCTTTAGCATGTTTACATTGCATAAATTAGCCTAGTGGCTAGCGGATTTTTTCCCTCTACAAATAACTTAACAAATGGCATTTAATGTCATCATTTTTCTTACTCACTGGTGGTCTAAGTCACTGCATCTCCCGAAAGAACAGCTCAGTTGAATTTCAGCCTGCATGCACATTTTTTTTCAGCCCAATGTTAATAAAACAGAGCAGCTAATTTTGTTGTAAAGAGAAGTTAGCGGAGTGAGATGCCTTTTCAGGCAGGTACTTCACATTTGATCTCATTAATGGCATTGTCCATGTGCTTTGTTGACCCATATTTTCTTCATAATATTTCCACTCTGCTGATTTATTTCAAAGTGAGTAACTTTATCCCCTTCGTCTTTCTCTTGGCCGCTTGCCAACTGCCTGCTTCTGTTTGACGGTGACAGATTTTCAAAATAAAAGGTATACCAAAGATGACGATATAGATCAATGTTTTTGTTTTGCATCAGTGATATTGGCTCGTCGATCAGTGAGTCGAAATATCGATCCAGTGCGATGGATCGTTACACCCCTAGCAGTTACTGTATATCAGTGAGTGTTGTTACTTCAAAATACTTCTTAAAGACATCATGAAGAGTTTAAATTGGAGAATGTTTCCACAGATATGTCTTATTATGTCATATTATTTTTCCTATCATTCAAAACTGAATTCTCTAGAAGAAAACTAGATATA